TTAGTACTTAAGTGCTTAGCAAAATTATCACTTATTAGAAGCAGATCAAAGTGGAGCTGGATTGCAATCCCAAACTAGTAGAAAAATATTTTTTGAAAGTGAGTTGGTCCTTTTTATGCACTAAGTATCTCCATTACAAATTTTGGCTTGATAGGATAATTTGTGCTGTCTCAGAGTGGTAGAGTGAGCAGGCAAAAGAGATCCAAGCTATCCACTAGATGATCATTTGTATAAAGTCTTGATATGTAGATCAGTTTTTGATTAGCAATTATCTGTGACCAGAGGATATTTATTCCAAAATGACTTAGTAAAAAGCACAGTAGCTGAAAGAGTAAAAGAGTGTCTTTACCCTTCTGCCTTCTGCATCAAAGAAAGATGCACATGTATTGTTTTAAAGCTGAAAGTATCCAGAGGGAAACTGGAGTATTTTCAGAGTCAAACTAAGCCTTAATCATAACAAAACATAAAAACCACTTTTAAAAATGGTAAAAAACAGGAGGCTTAAAAACCGTGGTTATGGAAGACATGGATTCTATTCTGCCTCTTTCAGTAATCAATACTGGCCAGTTGGCAGTAAGGAAGTCAAGTTTTACAGCAATAATATATAACCCCTATATTCTATTATGGCTGTTAAAGCAGTGATTGGGTTCTGTAAAGCAAAAAATAGTATTAGAGAAAAAGCGTTTTTGGCCAAAATGGTATCAATCAGTGGGGTAGCATAAAAGTGTTAATAAGAAAAGAATCCTAATTATGTATCAAAAGAAGGTGATTGTGATGTAATGTTGTACATTTGCAAGTACAGTTACATATATTTATGGCAAACCTACATATTACATCTACCATATTATCACCATAGAGACTTGTGACAGAATGCCAGCTGCAAGTTCACTGTGGAACTCAATTCAAAAGCACCACGGGGACCCAATTCGGATTGGGACCATGGCATGGGGGAGGAGAGGCTCCTGCCTTCTTGCCTCTGCTGTTTACCCAGTCTAAAATGGCCACAGGAGGATGTTTATTTGGCCTTGTGAGGAGGCCTTCACATGCAAGCATTCAGTGCACATTCAGTCCCCAATAGGGCAAATTTCAGGTGCCATTTCAGGTCAGGAAAATAGTGCAGGGATGAAAGCTGGAGCTCCTCCCCCCTGTGATTCCAGATCTAATTTGACCCCCTGCAGCACTTCTGAATTTCCTATGGGAACTTGCAACTGGTATGGACTGCAAGTGCTTGTGGCAATCACATGGTAGATGTAACAAGTAATTTCAAGTTTATCTTCGGTTTCAGTTAAGGATAAAAGCTAAGGGGTAAAGTCAAAGCTATCACGAAGTAGGTACGTTGCCAGGGATGAGATTACAATAAAATTGCTGGATTAGAGAACAGAGAGGAAAATACTTTACAGATTGCAACATCATGATTTTGAGCAGAATTGTTGGCTATCTGCATTCTATCCCGAGAAAACCACTAGTTCCATCTAACAAAACAGACTCCAATCCAGGAACATTTATGTCTCAGTAAATCTGTTAGCCTCTATGGAGCCACAATTCTCCTTTTTATTTCTTCCTGGGAATAAGTACGTTGAACACACTGGGGCTTACTTTGGAGTAAATATGCATTTTTATGTTTCGAAAGTAAAATATAAATACACATGAATTATTTATATAAGTAAAATACAAACAGCATATTGGCTGTTAGTTTATATAATTATTTCCTTTAACAGTATTTATTTAAGGCAACTTGAATTAACGTTATCCTGTATAAACATATCTGCCAGGTAGTCAACCGTGTTGGTCTGAAGCAGTTGAACAAATTTAGAGTCCCGTGGTAGAAGAAGAGGAAGAAGAGAAGAGGTTGGATTTATACCCCGCCCTTCACAACCCAAAGGTGTCTCAGAGCGGCATACAAACTCCTTTCCCTTCCCCTCCCCACAACAGACACCCTGTGAGGTAGGTGGAGCTGAGAGAGCTCTGACAGAAACTGCTCCTTTTCAAAAACAGCTCTTATTAGAACTATGGTTTGCCCAAGGTCATCCAGTCAGGTGCAAGTGGAGGAGTGGGGAATCAAACCCGGTTCTCCCAGATTAGAGTCCGTGCACCCAACCCGCGCACCCAACCCAACACCCAACAAAGGTTTATTCAAGGTATGAGCTTTCATGTGCAAGGCACACTTTTTCAAATGTTTTGGAAATATTTGAAATATTTGAAGAAGTGTGCCTTGCATACAAAAGTTCATAACTTGAATAAACCTTTGTTGGTCTTAAAAGTGCCATGGGACTCTAAACTATCTGCATCTTACTTGATCTGCATGTATACTGAAAAGAAAGTTGGGCTGATGTACCAATAGTTAACAAGATAATTAGAATAAGAAAACATTATATGTAGCTAAGCTTGCCAACTGCCTCAAGAAAGTGTCCTTTATCTTTAGAGGCTTAGTGGGACATTATATATCAGGTGATGTTATTTGCCTGCATGCCATTAAAACCACTCTGAGACCCCCTAGGGGTCAAGGGCGGTATATAAATCGAATTGCAAAGTAAAGTAAAGTAAAGTAAAAGTGTTAGCTGTGCAAATCCACACATTATGCCTGTATTAAAGTGACAGGATATTTTTCTGAAGCTTTGCCGGTAACTCCATGTGTAGCAATGCCTTGTCTATTCAGTGAATAAAATCATTGAATTGTTTTTCAGGCATGTAAATGCTCCACAAATTTTAAATATATATAAAAGACAAGAATACCTCCTCCCACGGAGGAAATGCAGGTTTCCATCTTTTGCTAAACCATTATACATCAGTGAATCTGTTCCACATTCTTTGCCACTTCAGTCTCATTTTTTATTGATTAGATTTATGTGAACTGGTTCTCTTGATAATACCAGTGTCTTGTAGCGGTTAGAGTTTCAGACTAGAATTGGAGGGATCTCAGTTCAAATCCCCATTCACAGAGCCCTTCCTACTGGATCACCCTGTATTACCCTGGATCACACTCTGCCATTTCTTCAGCCTTTTGGAAGGACCTGCTATGTAGAGCAAAGGTGTCATGACTCCTTTGTTCTGTATATACACATGCCAAATGGAGCAGCAGCAAGGTGAGGTCACTCTTTGGAGAAGAAACCTGTTTTAAGAGAACAGATTTTCTCTTAAAAACTGAGGAAAATCTGGGACCAAGCTGTTTCCTAACCGTCTCCTTGCACCCTCGGACATTTCCCTACTAAAATTTAAAATTTTACAATGACAGTAGTAACTGATTAGTACCACTGTGAAAGGGCACTAAATTATCAATAGTTTTCTGTCTGCCCTTGAGATATTTAAAGCTGTCTCAGCATCTGTACTGCCTTTTTATTGAGAAACAGTTCCAAGGCCGTTAACACCATACTTAAATGCAATCCATCAACACAATTACATGAAGAAAACCAAAGGTTCAAGATATAAAACTTGGGGATATTTTGAAGCCATGAGAAGAAGAAAAATTCCCTCATCTGTTGCATAAAAACAGATATTTAAGGGAAATATACTATGCTTGTTTTCTTATGCAAACCTTTGCTTTAACAAGATAAAATTATATAACTTCATTAAAGTGTCTAACCAGGATCTGGGAAACCCAGGTTCAAATCCCCACTCTGCCATGAAAACTTGCTGGTTGACCTTGGGCCAATCATACACGCTCAGCCTAACCTAGGCCCCGGTCACACGGGCTGGATAACGCAGGGGGGGAGGTGGGGCTTTTTGCTCTGCCACAATTAGAGCCGCCATAATGTGATCCCACGCGTCGGCGACATGCCACAGTTCCTCCCCTCTGCGCCTGCGCATCAACAAGGGGCCGGAGGAAAAAGTCGCGGCCGGCACGATCACACTGAGGGACTCCGGAGACAGCCCATGGCAAACCGGCGTGCATTTTCAGCAGTACACCACGGGTTTGCCACGGGTGTGCTCCACTTCCCAGATGTTACGGTGTGATCACGCCTGGATAATCCGTCATGCAATCGTCGCTCTCCCTCGGCAAAAACTCTGTGTGAACAGGGCCCTACTTTACAGGGTTGTTGTGAGGATAAAATGGAGGACCGGAGAATGATATAAGCCACTTTTGGCTTTATTTCTTTATTTTATGAAAATTAAAAGTATACACACCTTCATTTTGTACAAGCAAAACTGCAAATATACTCAGTACTTGCAGCAAACTCATGATGCATCCTATGCTATCTTAGCACATGTATCTTAATTTTTCCCATCTAAGAAACAAGAAAAACCTGAAATCAGAAAATATAATACAGAAAAGGAAGTATTATTTGGTCAGAAATAGTCTTATACAGTCACAATACATTGACAACCAGAATATTGGATACTATGAAGCATTATAACTTCAAAAACATGGATCTCTTTAATGTATCATGACACATTAAAGTGTATTAATTATTGTCAGATTCGTTCACATTTAAATAATAAACACAGTCTTGAATCTATGTTGGATTGTCTACAATATACGCAGGAATTATTGCATCACATTATCTTTTCCCACACAAATGCTTCATTTTGAGTAAAACCTTGTCTTAAAAATAATTCAACCCATTCCAAACAAGATAACCATTGCATAGATTTTTCCCCATTACTCCATAAAATTTCCAAAAACTTTCCACCAGAAAACGTTTTAAATAGCCCTTCCGTCCCCCGTCCCCCCCCGTCCCCGGGCCTTCACATTTCTAACAGGAAAAAGAATGGGAAAAGTTACATTAATAAGAAGCCTCTCCCCACCCCCCTATTCCTTAGAACAGAAACCGATCTAACAGAACAGACGTGACCCTTCAAGACCTACGGGAGAGGAAAAGAAAATCCCTCTCGCGAAGCTAAACACCAACGACAACAACACAAAAGTGCACACTCCCTTCCTCTCTCCGGCTTGACCATCCCGGTTACAAGTTTCCCTTCCACGCCGTTCCCATTTTCCTGTCAGGGAGCCGTTGCCAATTGGCACGTTACTTCCGGGGCAGCCATTTTGGAGGGGGGGGGTGCCTGGGCGGTCTATCCGGGGTTTAGCGGGTGGGACTCGGAGCGGATCCGCTTGCGGTGACATCGGCGGCGGGGGGAGGGGGGTGGCAACCTTCGGGGCGCTCGACTGGAGTCCCTGTCGCCGCCGCCCCACGCAACGCAGAGCCCGACCGACCGACCCTGCCCTCTCCCACCCACCATGTCGGATTTTGACAGCAACCCCTTCGCGGACCCGGACCTTAACAACCCCTTTAAGGTAAACGCGACGGGGAAGGGGGGAAGCTGTTAATGTTTTTGAGGCTGGGGAGGTCCCGGTTTCCTTAGTCTTGTGAAGGTGCATGTAAATGCCCCGCGCACACACCGCCACCCTTGTGAGGTAGCCTGTAAAATGATGCCTCTGTCCTGCCCCACCCCCTTTCCCTGGGAGCCTTCCCTCCCCCCAAACCCTGCTGTGTTTTGCCGGCGAAGCCAGGCTGGGAGAATCAGGCGTCCCTGTGGCTCGAAAGGCAGCTTTTCCCTTGAGGCTTTTATAGCAGCCCGGCTCGAGCTGGTCCCCCATCCCGCAGCGACTCCTTGGCCCGTCGGTGCCGCTCAGAGGCCTCCTCGGAGCGAAGGTTCCTACCCCCCACCTCAGGCTCTCGGCCTTCCTTGTACCTCCCTCTTCTTCAAGAGAAAGGGTTAATCGCATCCCGTTGGCGTGGGATGTCGAGGGATGATGACCAAGGTTGGTGAATGCTGCAGTCTTCTATGGCTGTGTATCCCCAGTGGATGAAGAAGGCTTCTTGTCAATCTGAGCTGACACCACCAGGTGATAGATCCGGTGGGGAGCTCCATCTTCCTCATCCCTCGACCTGTAAGGGAAATAAATCCCTGTAGTTTCCTAAACTGACAAAAGGACACAAAATGGATGACAGATTCTGGAACAAAGTCTTCTAAGAGCCACTTCTTAGTGGCATCTATTAACAGCCCATGAATTTAGCTGCTTTACTCTTGGTTTTAGTATTGCTGTATTTCTTGCTGTCAAAAGGTGTGATGTTAGGAATGAGATCTGTGTTAACAGCTTCAGTTTACAGCCAGATTGAAGAAAAACTAAAGTAGCCAGATATGTAGTTTAATTTAGCTCCTAAACTGAATACACATTCTTCATTTTCGCCATTGCCTTCCCCTTTTTGTCTCCTTTATCCCAGATTTAATTGCACATTTTCAAGAAGGGACCTGTCACCCTGTACACTGTAAAACAATATGTGCATTAACAATGTCATGTGAATAATTCTTCCAGGGATATCATGAAATCTTCTCTTCATGCCATCATAGTGCCAGCATAAATTTACTATATACCAACAACTAGTTCATAAAATAATAAAATTAATGGGTATAGAACAAAGTATGCCTTGAAAAAATTCCATCCCATTTCCCTCCCAACCACGTAAAGGCCGCCATCCTAAGAACACTTACTTTCTCTGAGTAAGCCCCTTGGAATAAAATGAGACTTACTTCTGAAAAGACCTACCTAGAACAGTCCCAAAATTTCATCTGCTGGAATTCAGTAAACTCTCAGGGTTTAAGCAGGTTGATTTATTTCCCTTTTTTCCTTTAGTTCACAGTGGCTGTCAACAATCATTCCCTTCTGGAGCATACTAAGTCATCATCAGGCCATTTCTTTTAGTCCATTTACAAAGTATTTTTTTAAATACTTGGAGAGCCTATTACCTTGGTTGTAGATAGCCTGGTTTTGCAGCTTTAATTATCCACAAAGTGTCTGGCCGCTGTTAACTGCAGAGATGCTTTGTGGCACTTGTGGGATACTTTTTTTAGTACTTTAAATCCACAATTCTACACAGAAAAATTCAATAAGAATAGCTAGGCTTGTCATTTATTGCAAAGGTGACAGGGCATATTTATCACTGAGACTTGTTGGGGGGAGGGTTTAACCTCTCCTAACTGTTTCCCCCATGGTAATCGGTGACACATCAGCATAGGTCAGCATAGTGGGGTGGTGATGCCATTGTAGTCTGTAAGGGCTCCATCCTCCTATCATGGTGCCCTACCCAGGAGTCAGGACACTTCTGGTTTTGTGGCTGTGTACCTAAAGGTAGGACTGAGAGACAGGATTGGGATTCTGTTGATGTACCACCTACCCTGCCCTGACTTGGATGATCCAGGCTAGCCAGATCTTGTCAGATCTCAGAAGCTAAGTAGGGTCAGCCCTGGTTTGTACTTGGATAGGAGGCCTCCAAAGAAGTCCAGGGTTGTTATGCAGAGGAAGGCAATGGCAAACCACCTCTGAATGTCTCTTGCCTTGAAAACCCCATGAGATGTTACCAGAAGTCAGTTTCAATTTGATGGTCCTTTACACACACGCACCACCTACCCCACTGCCTAACAGTCTCACTGCCTGAGGTCACACAGGTGGTCTCAGGGGTGAAGTTGAGGACCCCTAGGCTGGTGGTCCTGGAGGACCTCAGGTCCTGCTGAGGCTATCTTATCAGAAATGGCTCAGGATTTCATGGCCTCCATGAAAACTATGGGCCCTGTTTTAGGTAATAACTGATCCGACACATTGTGCAGGTCACACTCTTGGTGTTGTATTTTGTCCTGGGTGGTTGGAATGCAGTCTGAGGGTGGAGGAATTGATGATGGTTCCTTTGTCAGATTGCTGTTTGCTCAGACTTAGACATACAGGGGCACCAAGTCTTTGCAGGTGTGAGGATTTGTTGAAATGATCTGCCCCCAGACCAGACAGAGCTGAATAGCTCTTTTGGGTATGATTGGTGCTCCTTTCAATGCTCTGGTTGACCTCTGGAATAAGGAAATGACCTGGGCAGTTGACAGAGTTGTTTCCAGGCATCTTCTCTTGAGTGTTAGAGCCCAGGTAGCTCCTTGCTTTCCTGAGGGGCTGCAGACAATGAAAATACAAAGGAGACAGCTAGAACAACAGTGGAGGAAGATTTGGGACAAATCCAACAAGACACAGGTGCAAGCTCATTTTATGGTGGAACCCCCCCCACACACACTTTTCTGCCACCATCAGGTCAGTGGAGGTGTTCTGGCTAATCAGAGGCCTGCCACATCTGGCCTGCAAGAGGGGTTGTGATTGCTCAGTGGCCCACTGTGACTGTTTTGCTCAGCATTTTGCAGATAAAATCTCTTGCATCTGTTTTCACTTGGACTTTATATTAGCATTGATAGGTTCAGATGGTGCCAGGGTAGTGACTTGTCCAGTTTGGGATAATTTCAGTTTATTTGGTCTGAAGATATCAGCAGGATTCTTGGACATTTGAGGCCTAAGACTTGCTTGCATGGCATTTGCTCTTTCTGACTACTTGAATCTGTGGGGATGAGGTTTGGCTGACTAGGTTTGAGAGGTAGTTAATGCCTTCTGAAGATAGGGAGTGGTTGCCCCAGCTTTGAAACAGGCTGTGGTGCATCCACTTCCAAAGAAGCCTACCTTGTACCCAGGAATCTCAATACCTATCAACAAGTCTCAGATGTTCCATACTTGAGCAAGGTGATTGAATGGATGGTAGCTGCACAATTTCAAACTTTCCTGGGTGAGGTGATTTTTGGGGGGATTATTTTCAGTCTAGTTTTAGGCCTGGTTTTGGGACTGAAATGGGCATGGTCGCCCTGGCAGATGGTCTGCTCTGGGAGATGGACATAGGGAGTGCAATTCTGTTATTCTCCTAGACCTCTAAGTGGGATCCTTCTGGCCTGCCTTTCCAAGCTGGCAATGGGAGGCACCATTTTGTGGTGGTTCTGGTCCTACCTGGAGGGTGGGTTTCAGAAGGTGGTGCTGGAGGATTGCTGCTCTGCCCTTTGGCCCGCAGGGTCCCTCAATGTTCCATCTTGTCCTCTATGCTCTTTACATGAATGCTGAATGAAGTCATCTGTTGATTTGGGCTGGGTTGTTGTCAGTCACCAATATGCAGATGAGACTCAGCTCTGTCTTGCACTTTTGGCTGATCCCAGGGAGGCTGTAGAGCCTGAAATGGTGCCTCGAGACAGTTTTGTAGTGGATGTGGGCTAATAAACTAAAGCTCAATCTCCACAAGACTGAAGTGCAACTGGTGAGCTGAAGGTCTGACCTGGGATTTAACTGAGGTCACGAAGAGTCGGACCCGACTGTGCAGCTGAACAACTACTGTTCTGGATGGGGTTGCATTCCCCTTGAAGGAACAGGTGACAGCTGTGCCTGGAGTTCCTTTTACCTGCTATGACTGGTTAACCTGCTGCAGCCTTTTCTGGGCAGAATAGATCTGGCCACTGCGATACATGCCCTGGGTACATCTAGATCAGATTACGCTCTATGTGGAGCTGCCCTTGAGAAGTGTTTGGAATCTTCATTTGTTGCAAAACGCTGCAGCCAGGATGTTGACTGGAGTGGGTTGTAGGGACCATATCACTCCAGTCTTGGCCCATCTACTATGGCTGTCTGTTCTGGGGCATTATTTTAAGGTGCTGGCACTGACCCTATGTGGTTTGGGACCAACATGCCTGAAGGACTGCCTACTACCTTATGAACTTACCTGACCACCATAGTCTTCTGTAGAGGGCCTTCTTGATTGTGGCACCAAAATTCTTGAAGTCGCTCCCCAAGGAGGCTTGACTGTCACCTTTTGTTTCCATCTTCTTCCAGTGGGTGAAGACTTTTTTTTGTTTCATTTGGCATTCTGTCAGTGACCCCTTCTTTCTGCCCTATGTTTTTATTGTTGGTTCTAGGGTTTTGTGTGTATTTTAGATCTGGTTTTAATTGTTTTTAATAATGTGTTTTTGTTGGTTTCAATAGTTTTTGAGATGTGAAATTATTATGTATGTTTTAATTTCTGAGTTGTCTTGGTGGTCCTTATTAGGGCAGAAAGGCGGGATATAGATTTTGTAAAATAAAATACATACATTTATGCTTTAAAGTTTAAAGGGTTTCTCCAAAGAAACCTGGAAGTTGTAGTTTAGTGACGACACTGATAATTCTGTGTTGGAGATTGTTCACCAATGTGAACAGCAGTACCCAGAGTACCCTGGGTAGAGGGAGTTACTGGAAAACCAGTTTGTGGTGTAAATTTGTCCAAAAAGTCCTGTAACACCTTTATTGTGACATAGCTTTCATATCCTAAATGCTACTCATGGACCATTTGCAAGGCTGAAGTAGTGACTATCAAGAGCCAAGCATTAAGGAATTCAGTCAGGCCTAAATATTTTTTAAAGATTTCACAGTGGCTTAAAACACATGTTGCACACGAATGTGTTCTCTGTGTAATA